GGGAGATAAAGAAGCTGAAAATGAAGTTAGGGGAAAGAGGAACACAAGGCCAGAGAAGGGCTGGGGTGGGGAGAAAGGGGGTCAAAGGAAACTGTTGGTTTGCTTTTCACTGGGGCGACCCATGTACTCCAAAAAAGGACATTTTCACCTCTTCTGGGAGGGCATTGCTTGTACAGCGGAACAACAGAATTTGCTTCTGAGTTGTGATAACCCCAGTTATTTGCATTCCAACTTTTCTGATATAGAAAAATCTAGGGGGAAGTGGTGGGGCACTGTCGTCTGATTGGTGGGAGAGAGTCATAATCCCTGCACACAGCCCAGACATTCATGGGGGAAATGTTGCTTGATATCGATGCAAAGGAAAGTCCACCAACATAGAGAGGATTTGTTACCATTTGCGGCATAGACTGTTAGTTATTAAAAATCATGTTGTTCAATTAAATAATTAAAATGGGGAGGTTGTGGTAATGTAGTATTTAATTTTTTAAAAGTGCATGCACACTACAAACATTTACATTTCACAGTTGAGTCCAGTTGTGCTACCCAAATAGTCTATATGCATACAACAAAGAAAGAAAAGCATTAAAATGTTCATGCTGGCTCTCTGAGTGATGGGGAAATTGGTGATTTTATTTTTCATGCCTTTCTGTTGATACAACAATTTTCTATTGAAAACATTACTGCTTTCATAATTCCCCAAAGGAACTGTTTTTAAACTGTAGTTTGGAAATCATTTAGGGGAAGAAGGCCAGGGAAGGGATCTGGTTCGGCAGGGAGTCAGGCAGGCAGGTCCTCAGCAGCCCTGGCTTGGAGTGGGGGAGCCCCTCCCACTTTGGCCTAAAGAGCAAATGTCAGGTTTGAACTCAGTTAGAAGGGCCCAGAACGATCACCTTCCCCAAGGCTGAGTGAGAAAAGCCAACTCCCCTCTGTACTCACACCAGGCCTGTTGTGTGTTCTTAAGTTTACACAAGTAAACAGCCCTCATGGGCTGAACCCACGAGCTGGCACCAGAGCTATGGCCTGGTCTTCCCAGCCTGCCTGGAAAAATGGTGAGGCAGGCAGAGAGAAGAACTCGCTCAGAATCCCTCTCTGGCCCCCAGTATGGTGGGCAGGCAGCAATGAAGCCTGATGGTTAAACTTTGGAATCAGATGCTCTGTCTAGAATCCTACTTCGTTCACTGATGGCTCTGTGGCTTCTGGAAAATTCTGTAACTTTTTGTACCTCAGTTTTCACATGTGTAGAAGGAAGACGAAGATTCCACATCACTGGGTTCCTCTGATAATTAAAAGGAATCAAATATATGGAATGGAAAGGGTAATAATCCCTGAATTGGTGGTTTTACCGTCAGGGTCGAAGTTGTTTTTTTTCTGTGTTAACAGCCAAATCTGCAGATTTTCTTTGAAAAGCAAGCAACACCAATCCAAGCTACCTGGCCTCCCCCCACAAGTCCACACTGGGGATCACATCCAGGGCCTCCCAACTGCTCTGCAAGCACTCTGCCCCTGAACCCCATCCCCTCCTTTAGCGACAATGGCCTCCCGCCTGTCATCTTCCTACTTCCACATAACTTTGTTTTGTTTTGTTTTTTGTTTTTGTGAGACAGGGTCTCACTATGTAGTTGAGACTGATCTGGAACTCACTATGTAGGCCAGGCTGGTCTCGAACTCACAGCGATCCTCCTGCCACAGCCTCCCAAGTGCTAGGATTACTACAGGCGTGCGCCACCACGCCCGGCTCCACAGAACTTTGGAATCCAACAAAGTAGAAGCAGCAGTCTGTACAGCATTGCAGTATATGTGGGACCCGCGGACCCAGGGACCGAGGAAGCAGGGAGGGCTGGGACTGACGCTAGCCTTGGTTACTAATTTGCCTGTGGACCCCAGGTAGCACGTGACAGAGGCACTGTCATGCCCGGGGCTGCTGGCTCTGGAACCACAAGTCCTAGTTCGGCCATCCTTATGGTGGGAAGGAGCAACAGTGTGCAGGCGCTGTCTCTGCGTTGCTAGGTAAGTGCGTCTCACGGAGATGGGGGGGTGACCCGGAAGTAGATCATCCAGGTCAGCCCCTCCTCTGTGCTTTTCCAGCACCCTGAGTGCTGATTTAGAAAATTTAATATACACCTGGAAATATTTTCCTACAGCTTGTTAAAGCCGATGTTAGAAAGAATTAGTCTGCTGAGATCTTTAGCCATTAAAAGTGAATATATTGTTCTCTTTCCTGGTGGATACATCAAAATATTCATATCTTTTATTGATCTCTGTTGGAGGAGTTGGTTTTAAACTAATGTAAAAGCGAAAAGCAACGTTTCAAAATGAAAATCAGATACTGCATGATTTCATCATCTTGTGGGCCACATTTCATTACTTCTTGTGGAAGGAATCTCATTTTGGTTATGCTTTTTCAGACATCCTTATCAGCTTGAAATATTAATTCCATATTCTATGTTTGTCTTAGGAAATTTTGCAAAAATTGGCAAAACTGTATTTATAAAGCTGCTCATTTTGGTGTTATTTAAAATAGAGTGGCCTGTAGTAATTCTATTTATAGCTACACTGTAAGACAGGAAATAGCTTACTTGAGACTTACACTTTGACACAAGAAAACTGTAGTCATAAAATGATAAACATGTAGTTCATGAAAAATACACGAAGGGATGTATATGGTGTAATTTAAAGTACACAAGGCATAAAAAAAGTTTGCATTGAATTGAGAGGTCAGATGGTCAGGGAGCATTTTATTGAGTAAATAAAAGTTAAGTGCCTGCTATGTGCCAAGCATTTTTCTAAGGAGGAAATAATTTATGTAATAAACTATTTGAAGGGACTATGTAAAAATAGGATTGTGTCAGGGGGATGGAATTATGGCAGACCATTTACTGCCACCCCAACATTAAAAAAAATTAGCCTCATAATGTTAAAGAAACCAAAGGAATGTCTGAAACAGCTTGATGAGAAAAACAGCAAATGCTAATCTTGTGGTTAATCCCAGGTGCTACTTTTGATGTAGGGGAAGAGATGGAACTCCCAAACCTAGATCTCCGAAACATGAGTTCGTGTTCTCTAAAATCAAAGAATGAATTCTAGGAACAACAGACGTTAAGAATAGGAAAAATTTATTGAGGGAAAGAAAGCTTCTAAGAGAGACAGAAGGGGGACCGGAAAGTGGGCTGCCCACTCACCCTAATTTTCAATGATGTTTCATACAGCAAAGCCAGGGGGTAGGGGGTACGAAGTGGGACAAAACTGTAAGACCCAGCGGAAAATTACAAGGAGGGCATGAGGTGGGGCAAAACCATGACCAACCAATAAGATGTCAAAGTACAGTCACCGAGGTGATATTGATTAAGTGGGGGTCCAAGGGGGGGCAAGTCAGGTAGCAAACGCACAGGGATTTTCAGTAAGGGTGGGGGTCAGGGATATTTCCAGGAAAGGCTGGGCTAAGGCCTTGCCCTCCCCCCGCCACGCCCAGGTGACTGAAACCTACTTAGAATATCAATCACTGCTGTGTATCCCCAGGGGAAGCACAAAGCTCCAGCAGTTTCTCTCCTTTTACAATTCTGGCCACAGTGACTGTGTCTTGATTGTCCTCCAAGTTGGCTCCTCGCTGCGTTGGCTCCTTGAGGGCGGCCCTGTCCTACTGCCTATGAGACATCCGATTAATTTACCTACCGGCAATACTCTGAACGGTTTGTGCTGGTCTATGATTTACTGTGCGATGACAGCACTGCCAGTACCATCAGCCCCTTTTCTAGTGAGGAGACGGAGCAGGATGGTTCGTGTCAAGCCCGGTATCTCAGAGCCGCTCCTTGCAGAGCCGCGCTCCAGAAACTTCGCGTTAAGGGCTCCTAACAATTCTCACGTGAGCTGGGTCTCCCTGAGGGCTTTCCTGGGGCTCAGCCTTTGGGACCGGGCCTCCTCCTACACTGGTGTGCTCTCTGCTCTTCTTGTTCGCCGGCTCCCTGTCTCTGGACTCCGGGTCAGCGCTGAGTCAGTCGATGAACGAACCGGTTGTCCCCCCGGAGAGGCCAGGAAGGGGCTTGCCTTCACCCAGGTGTCCATGGCTCCCTGGGACTTCACCTGTGAGAGGTGATGCAGGTCTCATCGAGCGGAGAAGGCTGTGATAAAAGCAGGAGATTAATTCACCCTGGGAATATCCCGGAAACCGAGTGTGAGTAACTGCTCCGTGTGCTGAGGACGCTGCCCGGGTTAAGTCACACACGTACTGTTCTTTTTTTTTTTTTTTTTTTTTTTTTTTTTTTTTTGGTACCGGGGATCGACTGGGTCCTTGTACTTGCGAGGCAGGCGGTGGATCCACTGAGCCAAATCTGGGGCCGTGAGTTACACATGTAAATGCCCCTCCTTCCCACCGAGCTGACCTCAGAGCCCTGCATCCTCCCCTCCTCGCAGCCCGGACCCCTCTCCGTACTGAGGCCGGTCCCGCAGCTCCCCACCCGCCAGCCTTGTACCCCGAATCTCACTGCCACCCCACGCGGCAGGTGCACCAGGGCCCACTCAATGAGCGCATGCGCACTGTTGCTGCGGGGTGGCCAAGGACCCCAGGGGAAGCAGCCGGAAACAGCACGACCTTGATTTCCGCTCTGCTTCTTCCCGGCCAGTGTAACAGCATCTGATGGGGCCTCCGTCTTGGGAGATGCCTCCTGATTAGGTCAGGCCCACCCAGGATAAACCCTCTTTCCCTTTTTAAACCGGATTTAAGAAATTTTAATCAGTGAGTATTAGTTACACAGGATGGTAGTCTTGCTGGCGTATTTGTACATGGATATAACACTTTGATCTTTACTCCCTCATTATACCCGTTTCCTCCCCTCATTCCCTTCCTCTTCTCTGTTAGCCTCACTTGTACTTTCGCTTAGATTTCTCTGTGTTTAAATTCCACAGATGGGAGAGAATATCATGTTCCTCTCAGTCTGGTTTATGTGGTTAACGCGATGATCTGCAGTTTTCTCCATTTTCCTGAAAATGGCACGGTTTTGTTCTTCCTCACTGCTGAGTAATCCTCCACCGTGTATGTTCTTTATTCATTTATCTGTTGGTGGGCACCAGGCTGCTTCCACAGTTTAGCTGTTGTGAACCGAGCCGCAGGAAGTGTGGGTATGCAGGAATTCCCTCTCGAACTCAAAGCCAACCCAGTGACGACACGACCTCAGTGACCCAGTCTTTCCACCTTTGCTGCATGGAGCCTAATCATGGCGGAAATAGATTCAGTTGTCCAAGCCACATTCCCAGGACAAGTATCACACAGGTTATGCGCATGAAGGGGACGGTGGTCACTTGGTTCCCCACATTTTATTCATGTTTTCTCGGCTACTGGGGATCAACCACCGGCCAGCACAGACAGCAGCTGGGGACAGAGAGGGGTGAGTGTGGAAGGGGGCGCTGGGGGGCTTTCCCCATGCCGCCAGCGCACTGCTCTGAAAGTGGAAAGAGGCTGATGTTTTAAAAGTTTTTATTTTAAGACAGTGAAGTGGATACTAGAGGCAGGTCACAAACATGGAAGCGGGCTGAGTGGTGAACAAGAACAGAAACAAGCTGTAGCAGGCAACTCGAATGGGCGGAGAGCAGGGTCTCAGGGAGTTCCCACCGCAGCGGCCACCGATGAGGCCCCGGATGAGGGGCTGACTGCCCGGTGCAGAAGGTGCCAGCAGACCTCCGGAGCAGCTCAGTGCGGGGCGTCAGCCTTCTTCTCCACTTCGCAGGCGGGAAAGTGAAGCTTGAAGAAGTTGGTGTAATGTGTGCAAGACGGCGTGGGCGGCAGGTGCGAGACCTGTGATGCCAGCCGTGGACCCGGAGCGTGGCTTCCTAACTACCACTCTGTCATGAAGCTAAAGAAAGTCACAGCCACCCCTTGTGGCCTTGTGTGCCTGTAATCCCTGCTACTCAGGAGGCTGAGGCAGGAGGATTACAAGTTGAAGGCCACCCTAGGCAACATAGTGAGTCTTGGTCTCCAAATTTAAAAGTGAATAAATAAAAAGGGTGGGAGAAGTAGCTCAGTGCTAAGGCCCTGGGTTCAACCCCTAATATTTCAAGGAAAGGGAGGAGGAGGACCACGAGGAGGAGGAGACAGGTATGTCACCACGACTACAACCTACATATTCATTTACTTACTTTCAGGGTAAGAGCTAGGGCCCTAACTGAGGCTGCTCCCTGATTTTGTTTTCTTGCTCCCCAGCCCTGCCCGGTGCTTGCCAGTTTGCTCTCTCCGAGCTGCCCTCCACTCTGCATTTCCTAGGTCCCAGGGCCAGCTGGCTTCTGCTTAGGCTCAGCCAGGAGGAGGCGCTGCCGCTCATGAGGTTTTCCCGCCCCTCTGCCTATGGGAAGACCAGAGCCTCTGAGCCACCCTCCCCGACCAGGCCCGCTGACGCCCTGGCCTGTGGCCTCGCCTCCCTGCTGCTTCCCGGTTCCCCGGGGGTTGGCTCTGCAGTGTCCAGGTTCCCTCCCCTCTATCAGACCCCGGCCGGAGCTGGGCTTTCCTGGGAGGTCCCTAAGGATGACGCAGGCTCTGCAAGCCAGGACGGTGGGCACAGGCAGTACCTTTGGTCCTAGGAAGCAGCGAGGAGAGGGTGTGCTCAGGAGTGTGCTCCTCTCCTGGGCTGCTGTGATGCCCTCCTGCTGAGGACCCTGCGGGAACGCTCAGAGGAAACTTGAGTCTGGCGGAGACGGAGACCGGAAGCTGAGACATCCGTCCGCCACCTGCCGCCCCTCGCTGGTGGAGCGTCACCTGGGGGGATGTGAACTCTCAGATAATCCCAGTGCCCTGCAGGTGGACTGCACACATTCCCACAACCCCTGCAGAAGGACGCAAGAAGAAAAGAGAACGCAGTGCTTGTGAGGGGGAAGGCCGCAGTACCACCTGTGGAATTCAGAGGGGGGCCGCGACATGGGGCGGGGTGGCCACAGCCTCTGTTGCCATGGCAACCCAGCTCTATCAGTAGACACGGCTATGGGATGCTAGCAGCAGACCCAACGCCCCTACCTGGAAATGCTGCTGTGCTTTAGGACGGGAGGAATCCCGGGGAATTTGACCATCATCTTTTGTCTTCTCTCCCGTATTGTTTCTTTTTATTGAATCATCGAGCCAGCCAACTGGTTACTAGAATGAGGAGAGATTGGGACACAGCTCACAGGCACCCCACAGGCTGGGTGGCCTGGGAGCCCCAGAAGAAGATGCGTGTGCATCTCGGGCAGGTACTCTCTGTGTCTGTGCCCGCAGGCCGTGGATGACGGTCTCATTTGTCTTCTCAGCAACTCTCAGACAAGTGATGCCATCATCCCCATTCTGCAGAGGGACACACCAAGGCCTGGGTCACGGCGGGGATGGCCAGGCAAAAGTCCAAGTCCAGGCTCGCCCTTGGAAACAAACTGTCAAGTAAGTGTCCTTTTAAGACCTCAAGCCATTTTTAGGTTTTATCTAAGTAGCCTATCGTGACCTTTACAGAAGCTTAAAAAGACAGTAGTGGAACTTCAAAACAAAGTCTCCGGTGGTCGCTGAGGTCACTCGGTGAACGCTGAATTGAGTTTGTAGCAGATCCTCCCTGAAGCCCAATACGAATCTGAGTCACCTTCCAGCTCAGTCTCCTGCACAGCTCGCCTTGCCCTGCAGAGACACTTGTTTTTGGTTTCACCCTGGGATGGAGCCCAGGGCCGTAAGGTGCCCTGCCCCTCCGCTACATCCCAGCCCCAGAGACAGAACGAGCTTCGTACAGTGCGTGTCCCAGAAGGTTGGGTCTCTGCGGCTCTGTCCTCCCACAGCCTCGCCCAGCCACACTGCTACATGCTGTTCTCTGTGTCTTGGCCATGGCTGTCCTGCTGGGAACCCCCTGGGCAGCCCTTCGCACCTCCTTTGGGTTAGCTCCACTGTCACCTCTGCAAACGGCCACCCAATAACCCCCATCTTGGGGCGGCGCCTCCCTGCAGTCCCATCATCCTGCCTGTACTGCTATGGTGCGGCACCATTATAGACTTCTTCCTGCCCTTCTCTCCCACAGGCTTGAAAGCAGGTGTTTAAGAGCTTGGCCTGGGTTTTAACCTTAGGCAAAGCTGTTATTTCCTGTTTGAGCCTTTACTTCTTCATATGGAAAATGGGCCCAAGAAGGGAAAAGTGGTGAGAGGCACCCAATTGCTACATATGTTAAGGCTCCAGGTCGGCCTCGAGTGTGCATCTTTGGGGTGAACACTTACTTAATGCTCAGGGAAATGGTAGCTCTGCCTGCACCAGTGGCTTTCATTTTTTCCCATTAGAGCTACCCGGAGAGTTTGTTACAACACGAGTGGGACCCTTCAAGACTTTCTGGTCCAGTGGGTCTGGCATAGGGCTTGAAAATCTGTGTTCCTGTTCTCAGGTGAGGGGCCCTACGTGGAGAACCACTGGGCTGGTCTCTGCGGCGGTGCATATCTAGTTACACTTACCAAACCCTTGGAGCCAAATGGAGCTCATCCTCCAGTGTAAGGCAACCTACTTCCCATAAAAGTAGACCGTGGACATTGACTCTGTCAGTTCCCCCATCCCACAAGCTCTTACTGTTTGACACGTCCAGGCACCGTGCTAGACCTTGACCGTAGAGCAATTAATGACTCAGGCAAGAAGGCTGACCTTGGTAAGTTCTCAACCTAATGGCCATGGTTTGGGAGTGGGTCTTCCTAGTCACTACATCCTATCCATTAGAACTCAGTGTTTGTTTTGGGGGACTGGATCACCTTAAAAATACTCAGATTAATGACTGCTTTCCTGTTTATTGCACCATCGTAGTGGCTTTCTCAATACCTATTTCACTAAGACTATCCACTGAAGTCAGTTATCATAATCCCATAATCCTCTGGCCTGGGACCGCAGCCGGCATTTATTTGGCTCTAGTTTTAGGATGTGGTCAACCCATAGAACAAGGCCGAGTGGAGATGCAGCGGGTCAGGGCCTGGCTGTGACAACACCTGGTATACGGAATGCTACATTTCTCTATTTTTTTTTTATTAGCTGGAGCAGAGACCCAAAGCCACAACTGTTCCATAACACCTATGTATGAAATGAGAGACATCCTCACTGGTATCACCACTCTTAGTTAATTGGAGTTGGGTTTTCTGCTGTTTGGTACTAGAAGTCGCTGTGATAGACTAGCTCTCGTTCTAAGTAGTTTTTAGGTACCAGCCACTGCACTGTGTTTGCTATGACTCATCTTCCATGCTCAGAATTCTGTTCAGGGAGGGAACTGAGAGCTAAGTCATTGGTTCTCTAGTAGGGTGTGGCGACGGTGAGAGGTAACACAAATCCTTCCTTGAGCTTCCAGGTGGAGCAGATAAGTTTGGGAAATCCAAGCAACTATCTTTGGTTGGTAGGGCTGAGAATCACAGGAAACAACTGGCTTTCCCGGATTGGCTTTTTTTGTTCTGGGTCACCTCATTAAACTTGACTGCTTTCTAGAATGAATCAACAAGTAAACTCTTCATTCTGCTGTAGTGCAACTTCCTGGTTAGGCAATCAAGGAAAAAGGCCTGGTTAGAGATCGGATAACCTCAGTTCCTGGAGCGCCTCCGTGTGGTGGGATTTAGATGAAAAGTGTTTAGTGAGGAATAAGGAAACTGTGCCTGCAGGGGTAATCACTACCGGATGTGCAGTGGGGGCCATTTTGTCAGGAAGTGCCCACCTGAAAAGCAGGTAGGGCCACTTAGCTGAAATTCAGGTAGGGGCACTTAGCTTTCAATTAGATAATGCATTCGGAGAGCATTTCATAGACCATCGTGTGTAGTTACTATGTCCCGGGAAGTCTCATGGGTGGCTGCCCCAGCAATGGTGAATCAGGACAGGGATGGGGCGGATGGACAGAGCGGCTCTCTGGGGAGGGTGCCAGAAGCTAAGGACTTAGATTTGTGCAAAGAGCTGGCTGCTTGGGCTGAGCTAAGGTCTGAATTGCAAATATGTAGAACCTGCTTTTCAGTAGGTCATTTCTCTTTTTCCTGACAGAGCCCTAGTTTCCAAGGGGCCAGCGCCACTGCGTTCTCCCTGATTGAGTGAACAAAATCATGACTCAGGAGAAGCCTGACTGCTCATCACACAGAATTGCCTCCTTAAACGACTATGGTGAAGACCAGCTCCTGCCAGCGACGCATCCCGTCCCAGCCCGCCAAGCTTGCTGTGTGGACGTTTTAGTAATCGGCCTCCTTTCCCTTTCCCTCCCTTTAAGGAAGGTAGTGGAGATGATTTTATTTTTACAATGTGTTTTAATTATTTTTGTGAGGCTGGGGAGGATCTCAGGGCCTCGTGTGTGTTAGGTGGGCTCTCTACCGCTGAGCTGCACCCCAGCCCAGATTTTATTTCTGAAGGCCAAGGACCAATTTAGGATCCTGTGACGGAAGAGATGACAACACCAGGAACCCAATGGAGAAATCTGCTCTTTTCCCGGCTCTTTGAGAAAAAGTCAGTGGGGCGCATCCTAGCCTCTCGAAGTCTAATTTAATAGGGCCCCACGGATCTCAGACAGGGACAGTGTAGGGGTGTGTGTGTGTGTGTGTGTGTGTGTGTGTGTGTGTGTGTGTACAGCAGTCCTTTCAGATCACTAGCTCCTTTCTTGGAAAGGCCACTTCTTCTTGGCGTGGGAGAAGATAAACCTTCCCGAGCACCTAAAAATAAATCAGTAAATAAGTCAGTGAATCATCGGAATAAAGATGTGGCCCCTCCCTTAGGGTTTTCTTTCTCTTTTTCTTTGAGGGCAGCTTTCAGTCTTTTGTTGCAAGGAGTTTGGCTTGGCCTCTTCCCCGTTATTGGCTGGGCTTTTGGAGGAGCTGTAGTCCCTCCGTGGGTGCCCCTATGTCCTTAGGGGTTTTCTGAGCCCACCCGGGAGTTTCTGCTCTTTTCCACACCAACTCAAAACAAGGCGTGAAAATTAGTACTTATTGTAAATGCACTGGGAATGGGACATCAAGTAAAAGCAAGCAACAATAACACACAAAGAAAGCACAAGAGTGTAGTTTAAACTTGCTTCTTGAATAACTACTGGCTTTAGAGTTCCCCTAATAAGTAATTTTTTAGTTCTTGGTTCCTCAAATGTTTTTGCCTTAGGGGGGAACAAAACCAAGCAGTTTCATTTAAAAGATTTTTCTTTGGCCTGGTGGAGGGGGCGGCATTTATAAAAGCCCTTGGCACGCTTTGCAGCCTCAGCAAGGAGGCTCTTTTGTGTGGTTTCCGAGGGAGGGGCGGGGTGGGGCGGGGGTCCCCTCTGCCTCAGTGACCTGGCCCGGGCACCTAAGACACTCGGTCTACTTCTCCCCTTCTGCGCCGGGATGTTTCCTATCTGGGCAAAAGCCCAGCGAGGTGAAACTTGCAAATGATACTGTCACTGTCCTCAGTGGACCAAGGCCCAGGAGCCCCTCAGTGGTCATTGCAGGCAACCCTCAGAGGTCTGGGGACAAAGAGGCCGCCAGCTCCAAGCAGTCCCTGCCCAAAGATAGCAGCTGTGGAAGGACAGCCTCCCTCCACTATGGGCTTCCTTCTGGGTTTCCCGCACCCGGGCACAGGTAAGTGTCCAGACCCCAGGGACCCGAGAGGGTTCTTATCTGGGGAGGCACAGATGAAGTCACCTGTAGGCCTGGCCAGGAGGACCAGAGGGGCAAACCCAGCTGCAAGGAAACAAGCTCCAGGCCGTGTGGGAAACCTAGCATTCACCCAGCCGATGGGCCAGGCAGCAAATGTTTTCTAAACACATTTTCCAAACGCCTGTTTCCCAGAGGCAGTGCTCCTACACTCATCTGCGTCGGGAGAGAGTGTTGTCAGGGCTTCTTTCTGATAATGTGAGGTGGAGTGTGTGTAGGACGGAGTCTTGTGAGCCCTGTGTGTGTGCGCGTGTGGGTGGGTGTGTGCATCTGCTCACCACGCGTGTCTGTGACTACGTGTGTGCATACACTGATCGATCATTCTTTTGCAGGTTTACATGTACGCATGGAAGGTGTTTCTAAGTGTACGTACGAACACCCATCTGTCTGCAGTGGGCACTGGCCATGTGCTCACCTCCAGCTGCTCAGCGACCCCAGCCCTTGGGCTTTCCAGGAGCAGCTTGCCGGCCACCCATGTCGGGGGCAGAGTGTGACTCAGGGCTGGGGCCCAGGCCGGGCTCCCTCCCCTCGAGGTGAGCAGTTCGTGGCCAGCTGTGAACAGCCCTTGCCCAGCCTTCCCTGCCCTTCTTTTTCTCTCCTTCCTTTTCCCTGACGGATGGCACATGCCTTCTGGCCCCCGGGTCTCCACTCTCAGCAAGAGGACTAAGATAGCACTTTTCTAGACGTGTCACAGGTATGCATGGGCATACATGTGTGTAGATGTGTGTGGATGCACCATGGAAAGGAAATCCAGAAGGATTTTGGAGGGAACCATCTTCCACAGAGTCCACAAGACTCTTCCAAAGAGAAGAGCACTGGTTTTATGCTGTGGAAGACAGAGCTGACTCAGGCAGAGTATGCATGACTTGCTCTAAAGCTGAAAATTGAAAGATGCTTCTGAAGAAATGTATGTCTTTTATTAAAGCAGAAAGAGAAAGGTACAGTATACATGATTGCCAGCCAGTCATGTGCTACTTTGAATTACATTTTTAATAGACTCAGTCTTAATTGGGCCTCTGTTCAAGGATTAAAAAAAACTCAGGTGTTTGAATAATATTCTGTAAATTTTTATTAACTGGGGTTATAGGGAAGGTTTTATCAGAGCACATCCTGAGAGCATTAGGAAATTACAGACAGACTTGAGATAAGTGTCAGACGGAACAGATGAAGCCAGCCCCTCAGCCATCTGAGAAAACATTAATAATGTAAGATCGCAGAGACCAAATCTTTGTTAGGGTTGCAGAGTACGGGACAAAAACGGAGACCTTGGCGCCCCCTTGTGTTGCAAAAGTAAACTTGCAACTTAATTTATTTTATTTTATTTTATTGTAGTCCTTGTCCCCAGGGCTCCTTGAGCCCCCAAAAGCAGCTGTTTTCCCAAATCATTTCAAGCCCCATGCAGTCGATCGCCTATCTCTCATCAACAACTTTCAAGGGTCCCATTAGAAAACCAATGCTGGATCCTTCTTCTCTCTTACCTCTCACATTCCATTCCAGGAAATTGGCAACCGCCCAATCCGGAGCCCTGGCGCCTCAGCCTTGAGGTGTAAATGTAAGCAGCTCCCTCTCCTCTCTTCAGATTGAGAGGATGAGCGAGTATCTGCTGCAAAGCTTAATTCTTCTCCTCGCGGATATTGTTCTTCTGCAACTTACTTGTCTCTGCCGTGTTTTGCAACTTAACACAAACGCGTCCCTCTACCTCCCCCTGCCCTGCAGGGCAGTGCTCAGCTCCCCCAGCCTCACTAGTTAACTTGCTGACCCATCTTTACAGTGCCTTGCCAGAAGGCTGGACCAGAGATGTAAATAATACACCTCAATATACAACAGCTCAGGCTTAATGTGCAGGCAGAATTTCATTGGACGGGCAGGAGAAGAAAAAATATATACATAGCATGTCTGGGAGGAGATGCAGCGGGGGAGAGGCTCTGTGGCGGAGCCTGGCGGGACCCTGTGGTTTCTTTACTTGGATTTTCCCGGTGGCCCGATGGATACGGGGTCTGTTTGCACTTGAGCGTCTGACATCCGCTTTGGTCCCTGGAGAAAAAACAGAAAGCAGCAGTTGTAGCCTCTTGAGGATGTGCAATACTGACAGCAAAAACTGTTACTTATTTAGCACTTTTTCAGGGCTAGGTGTTGGCTAAGTAAATTGTTATCTAGGAGTGGTGGAGAGGAGAAAAGGTCCGCTTGTTCATCGCCCGGCTATGTTACTTCCTGGCTTTGTGAAAGCTTGGTCCCTTCTTTGTACTCTGATTTCTGCATCTTTAAAGCAGGAATGACAAACCTCCATCAGACAGTTGCTGGCCGGATAAAGAGAGCTGGGCTCTGTGAGGCACTTAGAAAGGTTGGGGGTGCAGACCCGTCCTCTGTTCTAGCGCACTTCTGTGCCCTTCCCCAGTCCCACAAGGCACCCCCCAAACAACCCTGCTGTGTTCTCCCTGGAGCGATCCTATTATCTGCCTCACATCTGCTCCCTGAATAGAGCAGAAGCTCTGAGGGCCTGCCGCCGCCCCACCAAGTCCTGGGGGCCTGGCTGGAGCCGATGTCAGCTCCTGACAGGGCTGGAAGTGGGGTGTGCACACCGGAAGTGGGGTGTGCACCCCGGCAGCAGGGGCCGTGATGCATTACCTTCGCTGCTTTACCTTTCCCATCAAATGCAACTTTAGCAAAGTAAAACTAAGCCACTGTGTATAGTTCCACGAGCGTGGGCCCAGTGGGCCCACACAGATGGTCATATCAGTACCACCAAAATCAAGACATGCAGCCACCCTGTCCCACAGCCCCAGGCCCTGCCCGTCACAGACACACTGGCGGAACCTGGTCGTGCTGCTCTGTCCTGTCTAGGGCTTTGCCTCTTCCAGGATGTTTTGCTGTGGAATCAGAGGATCAAGCCTCGAGCCTTGCGTGTTTCCTGTGGCAAGCTGAGCGGAAGTTCAGCCGTGTTATTGAGTGTAGGAGACGCACTCAAGTGCTGGCCCCATCTAACAGAGAGCGTGGTGCGGGGCAGGGGAGCGCAGTGTGCGACAGTATAGTAGTGAGGTACAGGGTGGGCCATGATGTAGTGAAGTATGTGCTGCGTAACGAAGCACACACCCCACAGTTAACAGGGTGCTGTGCACTGGACAGTACACATGGAGTATACATACAGTGTTGTCCAGTATACAGACATGACGGTACAAGACCGCACAGTATATGTAGCGTAGGGTAGGACGCAGCATACACGGAGTGGACACACAGGCGGTGTGGTGAACAGTCCAGGTCAGCATACTATACGGCAGTGTAGGATAAATGGTGCAGGGTCACACAGTGCAGGGCGATGTAACACACTGTCACACGGCACACGTGACAGCACTGAGGTAGCGTGTGCAGCATATGGAGCATCCATGTAGCGCATTAGTGTAGTCAGACGCATGCGGCACTAGCGGATGTGTGACACAAGGAGGGCGTATTTATCGTGCGCGCACGAGGCACACAGTGTGAGCTCAGTACAGCTGCTCTGTGCACGCAGCACAGTGTAATGCGGGGCAGGCTCCTGGGATGCGATTTACTGCAGCAGCAGTCGGGTAGCTGGGCTTCCCCTCTCAGCTCTGCCACGGCCCGGCTGTGTGACTTTGGTGGGTTCGTCTTGATTCTACGGCAGAGGCAGAGAGTGCGTGCAGGCAACCGTGGAGGTCGAACGTTAGCATCCGTCCGCGGTCTCTGCTGCCCAGGAAGTGGAATGAGAGTCACTGTCTTTGCCGGACCCCTCGTCCGTCCACCCCGTCTGTGGAGAACCAGCTGCCGCTGTGGGATGGCGGCAGTCTCTGGGGCCGTCGGGATGACTGGACACACGGCTACCCAGGGCCTGGCCTCAGGAGGCAGCCGGGAAGGACCCGGGACACCCTTCCCTCAGTTCCTGTGGCCTCCATCCTGTCCCCTGCCCTCCTGCATGGGAGGCACTGGCAGCTGGGACCCCACCCAGTCCTCGGGCTGCTTTGAGGTCGACGCCTGGCACCACCCGGCCAGAGCGAAGTCCCTGGCCCAGTGAGCTGTAGCTCCGGGCTTCTGCTTGTCGGTGGCGGCTGTGGGTTCTACCTCGGTTCTGCCTGATGCCTGAGCGGGCCATCCAGGGTAGCTCGCCTGCCCTGCCCAGCGCCTCGCTGCCCGCCGTCACTCTTCCAGCCCTCGGTCCCGGGCTCTCCGCGGGGACCGTGCTGACACAGCCCCAGCTCCCTTCTCTGGTCCGCAGCAGCAGATCGTGCCGCACAGGGCTCTGGACCTTTAGGGACCCGCGAACGTGGGCGGGGAGGGAGGCTGAGGCAGGTGGGGCTTGGGGGTGGCAGCCATCTCCTCCGAGGGGAGCAATTAAAGATGGGAGTGATTCGCAATCATCGGGGTGTGCGTGTGTGTGCGTGCGTGTGTGCGTGCGTGTGTGCGTGTGTGCGTGCGTGTGTGTGTGTGTGTGGAGTGTAAAAAGCCCCTGGGGCTCCT